TCCCTCCTGACGCCCAGAGCAGGCTGGGAAGCAGCAGAGGAATGACTCATTAGCTGCCAGCTCAGGGAAAAGCATTTATAGCTTTTTTCATGGAAAACAGCCTGGGCTCAGCACCACATCCCTGCCCTCAGACACAGCTGCCACCACTGGGACGCATCCCAGGATCCCAGCGGGGCTGGGAGAGCTCCACCTGCCCAAGGTGTGATGTTTGCCATGGTCTGGGTGTGGAAATCACTCATGGCCTTGTGTGCTTGGTGGGGCTGGGGGTGGCAGAACCTCTCTGTGTCCCAGCCAAGGTCACCCTGGGAGCTGCCACCTCCAGCAGTGCCCGAGCTCCGAGGGAAGGAGCTGTGTGGGACAAAGGCTTCTCCCAGCCACACAGTCCAAGGGAGCCATGAGGAAGAGCCTCCATGGCTGGGCAAAACGCACCCCCAGCAACTCAGAGTAATTTTGCCTTAGTCCCTGATGACTCTGATGGTTTAGTGGAAGGGTTTAGGATGATTGAGGCTCCAGTTTGCTTTTCCAGCAGTGCCTGGGCTGGGATGTGCATTTGGACACAGACTCACACCGTGAGCTGCCCTGTGCCTTCCAGCTGCGTTCCAGCTGTTTTCCAGCTGTCTGCAGAGGAGGTGCCCTGTCCATGGCCTGGGAAGGGGGACCTGCAGAGCACAGAGGGCAGCCCCTCCCCTCTCTGCAGCGTCCCCGCTCAGCCCGTGTCCCTTGCAGGATCTCGGTGTGTGACGAGGACAAGTTCCGCCACAACGAGTTCATCGGGGAGACGCGCATCCCACTGAAGAAACTGAAGCCCAACCAGACCAAAAACTTCAACATCTGCCTGGAGAAGCAGCTGCCGGTGAGTGAGGGGGGTTCAGAGCCTCGTCCCACCTTGGAATCACAGACACAGCAGCTTCTCCCTGTGGCATTTGGGAGCACGGAGCTGTGTGGTCCCTCAAACATCGTCAGGGATGTGGGGAAGAGCATCCCTGGGTTGAGGAGGTGCCTGGCTGCGGCTGTATCGCGGTACAGCCCCCAGACTGGGTGCATTCCCTCCCCAGATAGATAAAACAGAGGACAAGTCGCTGGAGGAGCGTGGCAGGATCCTCATCTCCCTCAAGTACAGCTCGCAGAAGCAGGGGCTGCAGGTGGGCATCATGCGCTGTGCACACCTGGCTGCCATGGACGCCAACGGCTACTCCGACCCCTACGTCAAAATGTGAGTGTCACCCTTCAAAATGTGAGTGTCACCCTTCAAAATGTGAGTGTCACCCGCCAAAATGTGAGTGTCACCTGTCAAAATGTGTCACCCGTCAAAATGTGAGTGTCACCCGTCAAAATGTGTCACCTGTCAAAATGTGAGTGTCACCCGTCAAAATGTGAGTGTCACCCACCAAAATGTGAGTGTCACCTGTCAAAATGTGTCACCTGTCAAAATGTGTCACCCGTCAAAATGTGTCACCCGTCAAAATATGAGTGTCACCCGTCAAAATGTGAGTGTCACTTGTCAAAATGTCACCTGTCAAAATGTGAGTGTCACCTGTCAAAATGTCACCTGTCAAAATGTGAGTGTCACCCACCAAAATGTGTCACCTGTCAAAATGTCACCTGTCAAAATGTGAGTGTCACCCTTCAAAATGTGAGTG